GGTGGAAAGATGGAGAAAAGAAACGCACACATTCCACCTTCTAGAGGGAGAGATGACGATTACGTTGAAGGACGTAGCCATGCTGACAGAGCTTCCAATCGATGGTGATGCAATAATAGAAAGTTCACAGAAACCATTGAATGGTTGGGGCCAATTTATAAGCGATCGTTTAGGTATCAACATCCCCAAGGAATCACAAGAAGGTTGTCGTGTACCACCTCTACACAAGTCCATGCTATTGATACCTTGGCTAGTGAGGACCGTTGGGGAATTACCGGAGGATGCCACGGATGCTCAGATAGAGAAGTATGCTCGCATCTACCTGATTTGTTTGGTTGGAGGATTTTTGTTTCCGAACAAGTCTGGTGGAAATATGCATTGTATGTGGCTTCGAGTTCTTTTGGAAGATTGGGACGAGATTGGGAAAAAAAGTTGGGGATCTGCTTGTTTGGCGATGATATATTCAGAGTTGTGCAAGTGTATGGATCCGAAAACAAAGCAAGCGGGTGGTTCCATGTTCATCCTCCAACTATGGGTTTGGGAGCACCTTCCTACTTTCGCTCCGATCTGCCCTGCCAACAGTTGGGGTCCTGATGAGCCACTACGACAATGGACTTATGGTGCTAGATGGATTGGAGCTATCACGAGACTCACCTATCTAGACGGGTACCGCTAACATCTTGATTGTATAGAATTCAACGAGGTAACATTCTAGCTTATGATTATGAATGCTAATTTATTTGTTGAAATTATTTGTCTTAGCCCATGATTTATTTTTATGATTATGAATCCTATTTGATTTGTTGAAATTATATGTCTTAGCCCATGATTTATTTTTATGATTATGAATCCTATTTGATTTGTTGAACTTATTTGTCTTACCCCATGATTTATTTTTATGATTATGAATGCTATTTGATTTTTTAAAATTATTTGTCTTAGCCCATGATTTATTTTTATGATTATGAATGCTAATTTATTTGTTGAAATTATTTGTCTTAGACTTAGCCTATGATTTATTTTTATGATTACGAATTCTATTTTATTTGTTGAAATTATTTGTCTTAGCCCATTATTTATTTTTATGATTATGAATCCTATTTGAGTTGTTGAAATTATTTGCTTCATCATATGGTCATCAATTCCAAACCCCGCAGCAAAGCTTCCAGACTCGGATGACAAATGTTTATTATGGTCCTCCAGCCACTGCAACCCCACCTCCATTGCCACGAAATACTGGAATTGGATATGGAGTTCGTTCAAGGAATAGACGTCGAAGAGAGGGACGCGAACCGGCGGACGTGGTGCACAAGAGTGAGGTGTTCTTTAGAGTTGTTAAGTTGTTCTATTTCTTTAGAGTTGTGAAGTTGTTCCATTTCAATTGACGTTGTTAACTTTTTCTATTTCTAATGACGTTGTTAAGTTGTTCTATTTCTTTAGAGTTCTTGTCATGTTCTGTTTCTAATGACGTTGTTAAGTTGTTCTATTTCTCTAGAGTTGTTAAGTTGTTCTAAATCACAACATAAATTTCAAATTACAACATAAAGTTCTTAAATCACAACATAAAATTCAAATTACAACATAAACTTTCAATTGTCAGTCGATGGCCCTGGACACTGGCGCCTATCATGCCCTTCAACTCGACATGCAGAGCACTTCTTCGGGCGTCGTCGCTGTGTCCTTGATCTATCCATTTCATTTGCAATTCGGTTAACTCTAGGTCGACCTTTGGTACGCTTCATGTGCTCGGGAGGGTACACTACAGGTCCATCATACTGGGGCCAATATGCTTCATGAGCTAAGGGAAAGAACGACCCTTCCCAAACTCTGACCAAATATCAAAGGGTCCAAATTAACGCTTCTCGTTGCTGCATATGCATGAGAGCAAGGCAGGTGTCTCCCTTGAAACTTCTCACAAGAACACTCTCCTATTCCATTCCTTGCATTCAGTATGACTGTTTGAGCATTACCACCCTTTGAACTATCTGGTCCACTTCATGTTACTACTGCGAAGCGGGAATCTCTTCAACTAAATAAAGTCACCTTATGCCATTTTGTCCTTTCCGACCATGGTTTCATATTATCCGTAATCTTCTTTGGGATGTAGATTCCAGCATTCAGCATCTGATATGCTGCTTGGTAGCATTCAGCGAACCATGTCACCATACGAAAGAAGGTATGCAAGACTATAGATGAGATAGGAATTGCACGAAGACCAACATACAAACCATTGAGGCACTCGCCCATGCTCGTTGTTGTTATTCCATACCTATACCCTTCATCTTGATGTAACGTCCAACTCTCAAAAGGATGAGTTTCTAGCCAATCTGCACCTTCAGAGTGGACCTCCCTTATGCTCTTCATTTTGTCTACAAACTTTCGAGTCTGAAAAGCAATAGCTACAATAAAGCAAAATAAGGTTAGTAAAGGAGTATACGCATTCAACCAATTGATATAATCACATCTTATTTGTTCTTACCAGCGTGCCAAACTGCACGTTGTCCATAAGTTCTACCAAAGTGCTTCCCGTAATTGCTTTTGAAATGTCGTATGCACCAGCGCCACTTCACCCCATACTGCCAAACCTGTCCGTCATGTTCCACCAATGGACCAGTTGCAGCTCGATCCTCGTATGTTGGCCATGGTGCATCATGCAGAACTCTAAAATCTCCTGAACCGGAAAACACTCCCGATCCTTCACCTTGTTCGGTATAACCGCCCCCACCATATTGGCCAACAACTTCTGTCTCGACATACACCTCAGCAGTTGGAAAGCTGTTCTCTGCAATAAATCTCACCATCATATTAATGTCATCATCGTCAGACAAAAGTTATCCTTCATATACAACTGCATAATCCTTGTAAACCGGCATACGGTAAGTCATCTTGCATACTCTTCGCCCTCCTATGCAACATCGTTCCGCACAAATATGGCTGAGTTCTTGCCAAGTAAATATGCTCTCAATCCGGACAGTACTTGATTCACCATCTTCGTAGTCAATACTATCATGGAAATGTGTAATTCGACCATTCCACCGAATCAATAAGTCGAATTTTCGAAATTTTCTACCCATTTCTGCAGTTTATAGAAGCAGCTCATTACATACGGTTTAAACAATACTAAATTAATCCAAAATTCTAATATACTCATTCAAACAACGTAAGCAGAACTTACCTCCAAAAAATTTCTTCTTTGCTCAGCTATGGTGCTCCAGCTGCTGCAGTTTGTGTTTGGAAGAAAGAAGATAGAAAGTAAAAGAGCTGCCAGAATGTGCTAAGTGATGACTTTTTATCCTCGTAAACTGATGCAGTGGTTCGAGTCCAAAAAATGCGAACTACAGTAGTTCGAGTCCATTAAACTCGATCTGGGGCAACCAATAATTTTACCCCTGCACCCTATTCTGGAGCATGTCGGACCGAAAGCGACTGGACAGAATGATTGAGCAGTGGTTCGAGTTTAGTTTAATCGAACTACTCTAGTTCGAGTCCCTAGAACTCGATCTTTGTCAACAAAGAATCTTATCCCTACAACCCTATCCTGACACGTCGGTTGACCAATGGTTTAAGGCCATAGGAATCGATCTATATGGTTCGAGTTTTAAGGCATCGATCTTGTGCAGATATGGATCGAGGATTCTAAAGTCGTTTTACTATATCGAGTTTATTGGCATCGATCGTGGTGGATCGAGTTGTCCAAACTCGAACTAGTGTGATCGAGTTGTCCAAACTCGGACTACTTTGATCGAGTTTTCCAAACTCGAACTACTTATGATCGAGGTTTAGGAACGCGATGTGGTTGTAGTTCGAGTTCTTCATCGTCGAACTGAGTTGTTGTTCGAGTTTATTGGAACTCGAACCCCTTGAAACTTGGGTATTTTGAGAAAATTTTATAAAAGATATGTATTATGGGAATTATGTTTAATTTTGACGGTATTCTAGGAATTCTTCCCTTATTGGCTCACTTTTTATGAGCTTGTACTCTGTACACTCTATTCTTTTCGTTTTTAATTCAATCTTGACCCAATTGATGAATCTAATAGGAAATCTCATATTCTTCAATATTTTGAAAATAGAGTTCCAATCAATAGAGTTGAATACTTTTATTAGGTAATTTTGAACGCACGTCAATGGAAGATATTTTTTCTGGGAATATTTATGTACTAACTCACGAGCCATCAAAATCTTTTTTCCAATGACCCTGCCGTTCACAAAAGTTGTCTGATTTTTACTAATAATGTTGCATCATGTTCAATGTTTCCCCGTAGGATAATATCATTTCTTTATCCGGTACTCTAATTCTATTGTCAAAATATTTCTCCTTGTTTAGTTTTTCATGAGATCCTTCAAAATTCTCAATTTCTTATAGGGTTAATTGCATGGTTGGTCAGCGAGATTATAAAAAACGTTTAAGTTTTGTCCCTCGAAATATTTAAATCCATTGGTGCTACTTCAATTTACTGAAACCGTACACGTTTGGTCACTCTCCGCCCAACTCCGTTAACTTTTACTTATGTTGCGGTCAACTCTAAAAGTTAACCTTTAAATATGTGACGTGGCAATTTAAAAATAATAAAATTAAATTTTTTAAAATTGCAATATCATTTCCACCTCATTATTACTTTTATTTAAAATAAATTTAAAAAAACCCTAATTTCTTCTAATCCCAATACCATTAAAACTATTCATACCAGAAGCCTTCTGGTATTCCCCAACCCTCTTCTCAAAGAAATTCGCCTTCCCCCTGCAACGAAATCAGCTCCATCCAATCAAAAGTATTCGTCACATTGTAAATCTTCCCACAACCAAGGCAGTCCAACAACCTATCATCAACGAACTCAATATACTAGCCCATCAAAGCCCCATTCATCCCTACCAGCGCGCACGGCAGGGCATCACAAACAAACTCCCTCTCGATATCCACTAACGATCCCCTTCACTTGCTCCTTGCTGGGCTTCACCTTCATCAACCCATACAGCAAGTAGGCAAACGCAATCAACCTCTAGGCAAACGATTCCCCGCCGTCGATCCACTTCAAGGCCCACTGGGCCTTCTTGGCCACACAAGGCACCGTCTCGATGGCGCGAAAGAGGCGGATCTTCTCGTCGGAGTCCTTGATGTAGGTCTCGAGGAGGAGGTTGTACATCTCGGAGTGGATGTTCTCGATCGCGATCTGGAACCCGTAGAAGGCTCTGGCCTCCGCCACTTGCACTTCCTTCATAAAACCGGCCGACGAGATTCTCGAGGACAATTCCGTCGGAGGCGGCAAAGAAGGCGAGGACGTGGGTGATGAAGTGGCGCTCGTCGGGGGAAAGTGATTCCCAGTGGCGGGTGTCCTGAGAGTTAGTGTTGGGGATTAGAAGAAATTATGGTTTATTTATTTATTTTAAATAAAAGTGATAATGAGGTGGAAATGAGAAGGCAATTTTAAAATATCTTATTTTATTTTTAATATTTTTAAATTGTTACGTCACACATTTAACGATCAACTCTTAGAGTTGACCGTCACACATTTAACGGAGTTGGACGGAGAGTGGCCAAACGTGAATGGTTTCAGTAAACTCAAGTACCACCAATGAATTTAAATATTTTGAATAACCAAAATTGAACGTTTTTTGTAATCTCAGTGACCAACCATGCAATTATCCCATTTCTTATATATCATGCCCAGAGAGGGACCAGAGACCACATTACTCCATGCTTCTCTAAGTGGGACCAGAGACCACATTACTCCATGCTTCTCTAAGTGGATCATCAAATTTTTTATGTTGCAAACAGAATTTAAAGAATTTGAAGGGTTTAAGAAAGGACTTCTGAGTAACTTCAATTTCTACATACACTTGACAGTAATCAGATACTCTAGGGGATTGTAGTGAACTTTACTCTCTCTAAATTTATCAAATTGACAAGCACACAATCCAATCATCTAGCTAATACGAGAACCCTAATGACAATTTGAGCATATATTATCCCTCTTTGTAATGTTTACGTAAAACATAATGTGTGTTTTACTCGCATTGACAATTTGACATAGCTCTCATAATTTCTTACTTTGTAGGTAGCAAAGTCCATAATCTATCTCAAATGCGTCGTTACAATTTGATCAATCGTTTATTTATAATAACCAACATATTAATGACCGAGTAAGCTATCCATCAAATTAATAACAAGAAGATTAGATATCGGCATCTCGCTATGCACCTTTTGCTTCGCAACATAAATCCAACAGCCAATATTCCGGAAAAAGAAACAGATTGTAGAGGGTGTGCAAATGCCAAAGTGCCAACCAATTCCAACTTGTTCAAAACCAAAGGAAAATGATGCCTTCCATCGACGCATCAACCCACTTACGTATCTACCCACAAACTAACTCCAAAACTAGGTTATTCTGCAGATAAATCATAAACCACGCAAACAAGGAAAATGACTTGCTCCGTACCAACACAAGAATGCGTGCCTCTATGGCGACACAAGGATTTCAAAGATTTAATCATATTGATGGGCTCGGACTAAAGGGGACGAAATCTTCCGGCTGTGATTCGGCGTCCAGCTTGGCCTTCTTATATCTCTTTGAACTTTTCAGGATTGTGTCCAGTGGAATCCCTGAGGAGCTGCACATTCAAGCGAGCAGACCATAATCTCATTAAATGAATGAACATGGCTAAATGTCGGCTTCTTCACATAATCCCATCAAAAGAGTACGAGTACTTACAATGGCGTCTTCATGCCTTTTCGACCACTAATGCCATTTCTATTCATGCTGTCGAACCCTGGTTCAAGAACAATATACCAGCTCAGCTTCTATTCAAGTCACTTATGTTTCTTTGCTTCTACTAAAACATAAAACAAACACACCGAGAACTAACCTGTATCAGTCTCACCATCCGAGTCGACAGCAGATACCGAGACATTGGAATAAGTCTCCGGGGAGCTGGCACGTGACTGGTTGGGTGGGGATGGAAAATGATAGGGTTCCAAGCTATCATCTGAATCATCACCGAATGGATCCTGCTTGAATAGTGATCTTGATGCAACAACCTTCTTTGGATGAGCCATGCCATTCACAACTTCGCCTGGATGAGCATTATTACCTCTTCGACCAGTCACAACAGTTAACTGGCTTTGAGATGGATCTGTCTTGCCTCTTTTGGTGTGGAAAGTCGAGTTTGTCGAACTCTCGGAATGATGTTGCTCCATGCGCTTCTTCGACTTACCACCAAGTGGACGAGTCAGAGAAATTGAATCTTGAGCCACTTCACAAAGAGCTTTTCGTTTATCTACTGTACCAGGTACTGGTTTCTTCTCCTGAGGCTTTGCACTGGCTCCAAGTTTCTCCTTCAAAGTTGGATGCCCAGGTAACTTGGGAGAGATGTCATGCAGGTTTCCCTCGTGCACTTCACTTTTCTTTTCACTTTTCGCTTTAGTCCAAGCTCCAGTAACCTCACTAGGAATAGGATTATCAGTCTTCTTATTCTGTTCTTTTGGAGTGAAATAAGAGCTGAAGTCGACTCCATCAACCTTGCTGGCATTATCTGCATTGCCTCGAACTTTTTCGGGAGGAGACCCAATCTCTGCTCTATCTAATAGGTCTTTGAAACTCGGATTGCGCAGATTAGCATCATAAGGGATTCTAGAAGAATCTGTGCCACGAATGTTGGCGGTGGAAGGAGCTGGAATACTTTCGTCGGTGCACTTGTCTTCTGCTTGTGTCAGTAGTACGGAGCTCTTACCATCTGAACCATGCTTCTTTGTTTTCTTCCTTGATTTCACTTCTTTGTTTTCTGCAACAGTTTCAGTCTTTGTGGTCCGCTGTGCAGATTCTACCACGTTTTTAATAACCTCGTCAATTTCCCTATCTGTAACCAAAAGAGAAGACCTCAAACTATCAACTGCCGCCGCTTCTTCCACATCCTCCTTTCCAGCAGCTTCAAGAAAGGATTTCTCAGCCTTACCTTCTTTCTCCGGTACATCATAACAATCTTTAACATGATCAGCATCTGAAGGAACTGGTACTGTTCCACTCATGAGTGCCTTATGTTTTCTGGATTTCTTTCTTTTCTTCGATGTTTTCCCATCATCCACATACGGATCAACCTCGCGAGATATAGAATCAACAACTTCTATGTGCACTTCTGTCAGACCCGTCTTGGGCACCTCTTGTTCTGTTTCAACTCTATTCATGTCATTAGTTGTTGGTTCCTGAAACTCATTGATACCTGCACCAAATCAGTTTGAATATCAGACGAGCAAAATGAGAAGAAAGGATCAGTTAGCAAAGTTCAATTGGAAAATGGAGATACCTTGTGAAGGAAGATTGTTCTGTTGCTCTTGGAGAGGATCATGGTCCTTCTCCACCAAAGAAACAGCTGAAGGCTCCGTCATATGTGCTTCTGAATGAGGTGGCTCTTCAGCAACATTGCCACTAATAATTCCAGCTTCCTTCAGAGGTACCTCTTCACCAGCATTCGCCTCACCAGGAGTTACTCCAACATTTTGTTTATCTACATTCTTAAGAGACTTGGTTTTTCTTTTCTTCTTCGCGAAGCTTTGGCTGGCCAATTGATCAACTGCTACCACATCGTCAGCATTTGGGCCTTCCAGAGTAGTAGTCGCAAGTTGTTGTTCACCTATTGTAGGTAGCTGAGATAGAGGAGGAGGCTCACAAGTCATTGCATTAGATTCTGAAACAATGACCTGCATAGCATCAATGTCCACTTCACTTCTTTCCTGCGAAGCAGTAGTCTCAGGTAGTGTAATCTCTCCCTCTCCTCCCTTCACTGCCAACTTGTGCCTTGACACATCAACTTCTTTACCAGAAAGATCATCCGCAGCCTTTTTACTTCTCTTTCTCTTCTTACGTTTTTCCTTCACATCAGAAGCTCCTTCTGGCAATACACTGCCTGCATCAATCTTACTCAACTCTTTTCCAGTTTCTGCTCTTTCAGCATCCATCTCCCGAGCTCCTTCCTCATCAAACTTATCTTCTCTAACAAGTTCATCACTAACCAACGGCACCATTGACACAACTTTGTCACCAGAATCATCACCGCCCACAAGTTGAGCTCCCCGAGCAACTTCAACAGGGTCATTGCTCTCCTTTTGAGAACCCAACAAATCCCTTTCCAACATAGCATCGTGACGCCCATCTAGAACAACATTAACACCTTCCTCCTCCGAACCATTGTCCATGATCATTAATTCTAAGTTGACCTCTTCATGCTCAATCTCCTTATCCTTGGGAACAATAGAAGCTTCAACACTAACAAACCAACAATTCTGAACCCCATGAAAGGCATTTGTCACAAGCATTGACTCTGACAAGTAATAGAAATTCCCTCTCCTTTGGACCTGCCCAATCCCATACCCACAAACGACATAGGTCATTCCAGAGGCAACCCGTCAGAGAATAAGCGGCAAATAGTATAGAGAAAAAGAAAAACTATACCTTCAATCCATCGACTTTTATTTCTCCAACCTGGGGGAAACACAGCGGATGCTCGTCCGTGATTGTTCCTGCAATTAACGCAGATGCATAATCACAAAAACAGTTATGCCAACAGAGTTCGTATCTTTTGGAATGGACATTGGGGGGGTTATATGGAAAAAGGACGAGCGAAGGAACAGGGTATTACTCTTGAGATCAGCAACGGTGTCGGAGGAAGCGACCATCACGGCCAAGTGAGTATCGAGGTTGGTGTCGATGAAGACGGCATTGAGGGGAGCTGGGGCGCCGCCATGAACGGCGGCCGGAATCGGGGGTTCAGCCATCGCCGATTAACTGATCAAGAACAGAAATAAAACGACGCAAAGGGGGGAAAGAAACCGGCCTCGGCAGCGACGGCGAGTAGGGTTTAGTCAGTGTTGCATGTAAGGAGGATTCGTTTGCTTTCGAAGAATCGTTTGGCTCGTGAAGAATGGCGGCAGAAAAAGAGAGTATAAAAACCTTCACATGAATCCAAGATAGGGTTGATACCGCCGCTTAATGGGCAACGAGTGATGTGCCTGGGCCCAAAATTTTCACGGACAGCCCAACTCTTCTGCAAGGCCTGCTTCGGGCCCAGTTTGTGTGATTAGACCATGAATTTGACTCTTCGGATGTTTAAAGCAAGATGTTATATAATTGGCCAATACTACGGTGCCGAGATTGAAAGAGCGGCATAGGTGCCGCTGCTTTTAATTGCTGCACGTGGCAGGATAGTTTTACGTGGCAATAGTGGTTGATTCCCATCGCAGAACCCATCGTACAAACCGGGTCGTCCCTTGAGCCAAGGAATTTTCGTGTTTCCTTTACTTATCCTCCCTCGGTTAGTTTTTATTTTTTTCCATTAAATTATTTATCTTTTGTCCCTGAACAAAATTTCTTTGTAAGTTTTATTTGTTGGGTTGATCTGAACACAAAGCAACTGGAAGTGAAGCTGGGAATCCTTCTCAGTAGACGGATTGGAAGTGGAGCCAAACCAGGAGAGTTTAAATTTGAGTCTTGAGTCAATAAAAAAAAACAGTGTTGTTTTGGATGTTTTATTGTTTAGTCTCTGAGTCAGTGGTTTGTGTCAGTTAGGCTGAAGGTTAGTTAAGCTCTGTTGAGAGTTTTCAGGGTAGTTGAGTTGTTGGTGCTGATTTACATGACCTGTAGAGTCGTAGATTGAGTAGTGGAGGCCATGGTTTATGGCCAAAGCAAGTCTTTATATTGTAAATATTCTGCATTCTAATAAGATTTGTCATATTGCAATATTTTGAGCTTTCATAGTGGTATCAGAGCTGGTTTGGCCAAGTGGTCGTGTGTTCGAATCTCCACGACCCCCAATATTAACACTTGATTAAAGTACATGGTATGATGGGCTTGTGCAAACTTCAAGCCCATGGGTTGGCTTTCGTTTGAGGGGGCGTGTTAGAGAGTGGTATAAGATCCAGCATATGTTCCTTCTTCCTAAGCTGCAAGGGACTGTTGGAGTATGTGGCACCTGTCAAATTGGGAAACAGCCCAAAAAGCCATTTCCTAAGAAAAGCCAGTGGAGAGCAACTCAAAGGCTTCAGCTAGTACATGCTGACTTATGTGGACCAATTACCACAGCATCAAATGGAGGCAAGAGGTACATTTTTACTCTTATTGATGATTTCAGTAGGAAAATGTGGGTTCACTTCATGACTGCAAAATCAGAAACTCTTGATTGCTTTAAGAAATTTAAAGCAAGAGTTGAGAAGGATACTGATCTGGAAATTAAGTGTCTCATAACTGATCGTGGGGGTGAGTTTATGTTAAGTGAACTCAAGGATCTGTGTGATGAAATTGGACTGAGAAGGCAACTCACCGCTGCTTTTACACCCCAACAGAATGGGGTTGCTGAAAGAAGGAATATGACAGTTATGAATATGGTCAGGTGCATGATGGAAGACATGAAGGTTCCTTCTGCGTTTTGTCCTGAGGCTGTTGATTGGATTGTTCATGTACTTAACAGAAGTCCAACCACAGCAAATCTGGGAAGAACACCTCAGGAACTTTGGACTGATGGCAAACCCTCAGTATCTCATTTCAAAGTGTTTGGGTGTGTTGCTTATGTGCATATACCTGACTAGCAACCAAAGAAACTGGATGACAAAAGTGAGAAATGTCAGTTTCTAGGCATCTCAGTGGAGTCCAAGGCTTATAAGCTTTACAATCCTGACACTAGAAAGATGGTTGTCAGCAGGGATGTGGTGTTTGATGAATCTAAGGGTTGGAGCTGGGATTCTGCAGCACAACCAGGGCTGACACAACTGACTTGGGCAGGAAGTGATGAAGAATGGTGGGATTCTGACTCTGAAGGTGGCTTTGAGAATCCAGCAGACTCAGTTCCTGAGGCAAATGCAGGACAACCTCCAAGTCCGAGAATCCTGCAGGTTCTGAACCTTCCCAAGAATATGAAGAATCTGATGAGGAGCCACAAACAGATGTACTGGGGCTTCCTAGTGCTGGTCTAGGCAGAAGGGTTAGTAAACCACCAATACATCTGCAAGATTATGACTACAGTTTTATCTCAACAAATTGGATGGTCATGGTAGCTGTCTTTGATGGCCCACAATCATTTGAAGAAGCCTTCTTGGACCCTCAGTGTAATGAGGCTATGCAAGTTGAAATGGACTCAATAAAGAAGAACCAGACTTGGACTCTTACTGATCTTCCTGAAGGGTGTGAAGCTATTGGGTTAAAGTGGGTTTACAAAACCAAACTTAAGGAAGATGGAGAATTGGACAAGAAGAAAGCAAGGGTGGTAGTCAAAGGGTATGCACAGAAGCTAGGAATTGACTACAATGAAGTTTTCGCACCTGTGGCTCAATGGGGCACTATCAGAACTATGTTAGCTCTTGCTTCAAACTATGGTCTCACAGTATATCAGATGGATGTCAAGAGCGCATTCTTTCATGGGGAGCTTTCTGAAGAGATATATGTAGAGCAACCACAAGGATTTGTGGTTGCTGGGGAGGAAAAGAAGGTTTATAGGCTTCATAAAGCTCTGTATGGGCTCAAGCAAGCCCCAAGGGTTGGTACCGTAGGATTGAAACCTACTTCCTTGTTGTTGGGTTTGAAAAATGTCAGTATGAACCTACCTTGTTCATAAAGAGAAGCAATATTGGTATCCTTATTGTCAGCTTGTATGTCGACGACTTGATGTATGCCAACAACAATGAAGAACTACTAGCAGAGTTTAAGCAGTCTATGCAAGCAGGATTTGAGATGAGCGACTTGGGAAAAATGAGGTACTTCCTGGGGGTTGAAGTGGTTCAAAGTGCTGCTGGAATTTTCATCTACCAGCCAAAGTACATAAGGGAAGTTCTAGAAAAATTCAAGTTGTCACAATGCAACTTTGTTCACAGTCCAATCACACCTGGAGTCAAGATGGCAAAAGCTGGAGATGGAATTCATGTGGATCCCACAGAATACAAAAGGCTGATTGGGAGCCTTCTATATGCAACTGCAGATATCATGTTTTCGGTTTGCTTGCTTAGCAGGTACATGGATTCACCAACGAGACAACATCTATTAGCAGCAAAAAGGGTACTGAGGTACCTCAAGGGAACAATAAAGCATGGAATCTGGTACAAAAGAAATCATGGGGAGGAAGTGAAGCTGCTTGGATACACTAATAGCGACTATGCTGGTGACTCTAATGACAGGAAAAACACATCTGGTTATGCGTTCTTCCTTGATGGAGCAGCCATCTTGTGGGCCTTGAAGAAGCAACCAATAGTCACTCTCTCTACTACTGAGGCTGAATTCGTTGCAGCAGCCTACATTGTATCACAATGCATCTGGCTTCAGAGGATTCTGGAAGAAATGGGATGGAGCAGTAGTGTGGCAGCTGGAACTAGGGCTGTCAATTCGGTTTCCGGTTAGCGATTAACCGGCCGGTTTAACCGTTAACCGCCGGTTATCGGCTAACCGGAAACCGAAATTTATATGGGGCGGTCGGTTGTCGGCAGTGCAGAATGGTTAGGCGGTTAGCCGAGTAACCGAAGCCGATTAACCGGCTAACCGTCTCTAACCGACCGACGATACGACGTCGTTTTGTCTAAGAGTAAAAACGACCCCAACCCTAGCCTAGGCCCTCCCTCTTCGTCTTCGGCCTTCGCAGATCGCAGGCGCAGCAGCCAGACACCTTCTTCATTTGGCGACCCCGACCCCCTCCTTCTCCCTCACCCTCACGACCGGCGCGGCAGTCCCAGCTCTCCGACCCCGCCGTCCTACTTCTCGTCGTCTCCGAGTCCCTCAGCCGCCACCCCGCCACTCCTTCTCCCTCACGACCGGCGACCCCGACCCCCTCCTTCTCCCTCACCCTCACGACCGGCGCGGCAGTCCCAGCTCTCCGACCCTGCCGTCCTACTTCTCGTCGCCCCGCCGCCCTCCTTCTCGTCGCAACAGCTCGTCCGTCGCCCATTTTGAAGCCGCACTGCAGCAGGCCAGCAGGCAGCAGCTCGTCGAATTAATGTAGGTCGAATTAGTCAATTAGTGTATTCAACATTCAATTCAATCGGTTTATTTCGGTTTTCGGTCGGTTAGACCAGTAGACCGAACCGTCCTTCCCTTTTTTCGGTGTAGGCGGTTTAACCGTGCCTTAACCGAAACCGCCCGGTCGGTTTTCGGATAACCGAGGTGCCAGGGTCGGTGGGTGGCCGGTGGTGACAGGTCAGGTCTCGGTTTAACCGAAAACCGAGATTTCGATTTTCGGTTAAACCGAAACTGACCGGGTGACAGCCCTAGCTGGAACTAAGGGGTCGTTTGGAGAATAGGATTCAGAACGTGGATTCACCGAATCCGTAGATTTTGTAGAAAGTTATGTTTTTTTGTTGCTTTTTGTATTGTGGATTCTAGCTTTACAGATTTCAAATCTCTTAAATCTGCGGATATCAAATCTCTCATAATCAGAGAGATTCTATATCTTGATTCGTGAGTTTTTTTTTCCTAGTTTTTCTCTTACTTTTATTTATTTGTCACATGAAATATATTTATCAACATAAATTTTAATATTTATTGAACCACTCTAATTTTTTATTAAGGATAAAAATTTTATTTAATATAAAATTAAATTTTTTATTTTAATTGAATGTTAACAATCACAGTTACCAAACAATAAACATTTTAAAATCTGTTTTCAACAATCTAAGGAGTTATAATCATTAGATTGTTGCCAATCTATAGATTTAAACTCATATTCTCCAAACGACCCCTGAGATACTGTGTGACAACAGTTCTGCAATCAAATTGGCCAAGAATCCGATAATGCATGGACGGAGCAAACACATCGATGTTCGCTTCCAGTTTTTACGAAATTTAGTGAAGGAGGGAGTTATTGATTTGGATTTCTGCAGGACTGGTGAGCAGGTGGCAGATGTGATGACAAAACCTTTG